CCCAGGATGAGTAGAAAATAGACACACAAGCTTGATGTCACCTTCAGGAATCCAGATTTAGTGCTGTATGTACGGTGGTCGTGACTTCTTCAATATAGATATTTTATTGGTAAAGTATTTTATCAGATCAACTGCGTACTGCATGCACTTAACAAATAATAATTAATCATGAATCATATGGTCTCATGCACTTATCAATAACTATCACGACTCATGTAATTAGCATGTTCAAGACCTGCCTCCGGATGATTCATGATTTTATCATGCTTTTGAAGACTAAACGAGTCCTGTGGCACGACAAGCTACACACTTTGATAGAATCCATGGAAATGTGCCGGTTAAAATAAAAAACGGGCAGTTTAAAATCAAATGTTAGAATATTGAATTTTATCCGGTTCTAAAATCTTGAAAATCTTTGTCGCTGCTTTGGAATATTGTCATATCCTACGAATAACCTAAGTATCCTCTTTCTAGAATCGACACATGTCCCATGTTTTAGCTAATCCTTAGTTTGACTTTGGTCTAGTCATGACGACTCAAACAGCATAGGCATAACTTTTCCCAATTAGGGCCGAGTAGTTGAGAAGCATTCTCACTCACACTCGCCTTTCTTGAGCTGACCTCTTCCAAGTTCAGTCGACAACTTGGGAGGCCGACTAAAAAGACGACATTTATCGGCCCTTACCATCCAAATCAACCCCCTCATCTTCATTCCACTAGTTCGGGTTGACAACTTACGAGGTCGACTAAAAAGGCAGTACTTATCGGCCCTTACCATCCGACTCGACCATACTCCTCTTCATTCCACTAGTTTTGGTCGACAACTTGTGAGGCCGACTAAAAATGAAGTACTTATCAGCCCACTCGCAAAATCGAGACGAGAGGCGTCACTTGCTGCCTCTCTCGTAAAACCGAGTCGGGAGGGAGCGTGTCCTTGGGCCGCACACCAACAATTGATTGACATCACATTTAATAAAATAATCAGAATCAACATTTCTTCAGCCCCGAAAGTCTTTATGACTGATCATCAGACCTCGTCATCGCCACGCACGTTCTGTCACCCTCACATTAAGCGCTTGAGTGACTCATCCCCCTCTGCAGTTGATACCTATAAAGCTAGCTTGACTCAGCCGAAGTTACCTATCTATCACTCAGATCTGCTATAAAAAGAAACTGATGTCTGCTACCTATGGTAAGCAATCCTTTTGCTTAAAACTGAACACTTAATTCTCTTTCTTCTCCACTCAAGCTCTCAACTGACTTGATCGTCAGAGGAACCACCGAAGATCCCAACTTCGACTCCTTACGTATTCTTCATGTGCAGGACAGGACTCCTGGTCCAAGAACCAACCGTCTGAAAGAGACCGAGGACCCTAACACCCTTAACAATCCATACATAAACCTTTGTTAGATAACTGACATCAACAAATATTAAATTGAATTTTCTACAACAAGGAATTGAACTCGATCACCCTTATTAATCAACTCTTATGTCCACGTGTGATTTTAGCCAATTTTTGACAAGTAAATTCTAATTAGGATTCTAGTTTCCTCTCTTGTAAGATTATAATTTCTTTTTGAGACAACTAGTATAATGCACATGCTTTCCACGTGAATGTACATGTTCTAAGTTTTGAATTTTTTATTGAATAGAAAAACTATGTTTTAACAAATAACATTGTACAATAAGATTGCTTAAAAAGAAATGTATGAATTAGTTATTATTGTGTAGTTATTGTAATTGAACGTTTTTCTTATAATGACCGTCTAGTGTTAACATTTTTTTAATAATTAAGTCTCCAAATCTAAAATTGTTCTTAAATAAAACTGTCAATTCTATACGTTCTCTTAAATATGCCCCTCCAATTTAAAGTTGTTAATTTGATTCTAAATTAACTAAGCTACATTAATCTTGCTAGTTTTTTCCTGATATTTCCTAGATAGTTACACTTAATACTTGTAATATATTGCGATTGTTACGTTTCATTATAATTATTTAATAAGGTAAACTACACTAAACTCTTATGAACTTTCATCCCATATGAACTTTTAAAATTACACAAAACCTCTAATGACTTTTCTATTTCAAAAAAGATCCCCAATAACTTTCTGAGTTTTACAGACAAAACCCCTATAAATTACAACCAGAAAATGTCATAAAAAGGCATTTTAAAATTTATTAGGGTGTTTAGTGTGATTTTGAAAGTTCGTAGGATCTATTTACTACAAAATGCTGAAAGTTTATAGGGTTACTGTAATTTGCCTTATTTAATATTATAATTTTTAGTTCAAGTAATACTATTAAGATAATTATACTATCTATATAGTATAAAATATTTATCTAATTTATTTTTTTAAATTATGCTCTTAAATAATTTAGTACTATAAATTTTTATTATACTATCACTAACGATTAATAGTACTATTATTAATATTAAATAAATTTTTTTTGTAAGAAGTTTAGTTTTCAATCGTTACCAAGTATAGATTATTCAGTATCATGTAATAATCTTTGAGAAAACACTCTAAAAGTAAAACTGCGTTATTTATTTAAGTTATTTAATAATATAATACTAAAAAATAGTGTGATTCGTAATTTATGTGATATTATTAAAGTAATTATACTATTTATGTGATTCAAAATTTATTCTATTTATTTTATTGCTCATTGAATTATAGTATAATTCTTAATAGTACTTAGCAATATATTATTCTATTTGCACTATTGTTTTAATTATTTTATTATAATTCATAAATAGTTATTATAATAATTTAATTGGTTACAACTGATAATTGTGTTTACTTCTTTTATAAATTATTTTACGTTATTATTTTAGATAATTAATACCTATAATATTATTGATAAATATAATTATTTAGGAAGGTGAGGATGTGCGTAATTAATAAGAAGTTTTATTTATTTAATAAAAGATTAATTATAGATAATGACATAGTTAGAATTTATTAAAATTTGAGAGGAAAAAAAAGAAAATTAAGAATTTAACACCCCAATTCCTCTTTTTATACTAGTATATAGATATAGATAGATATAGATATACATAATTTGTAAGGGATTCTATACGTCTAGATTTGGGAATACAGCATTCGAATTTATATGGGCTTTTGGGCCTTCGGCTGCGGAGGACTGTTTCACTTCCGAGTTTCTCTACGCTCTTCTCCTCTCCCGACTAAATCGAGATCCAATCTCGTGCCCTCCAAATTAAAATTTCCTTTTAATTCATTGGATTTCTTCCATCAGTCAAAAGGATCAAACCAAGACCAAACCCTAGCTCTTTCAGCTGGATCTTCGTTTGGATGAAGATCCTGCAGTTGGGGCTGATAGTCGCTCTGACGACGGGCCTCTCAGCGCTCACCATCTACATCACCGGAGTCTCAAATTCCGGTGAGATCTCCAACAATCGAAATATTTTCGAACTTACGCTTCTGATTTTTTTTTTATAATCTACTGTGATAGTGTGGGCTCTAATTCCGCCAGTTTCTTGCTCTCTTTGCTCCCGTTTGTATTGATCAAAGCTGGCGGCTTTAGGGTTTCGAGCGATGATCTGAGCGCTTTGAGTTCGCTGCAGAGTGATTTCAAGAAGTGCGTGGTGAGTTTGTTTTCCAATTCATTAGATTTTGAATGCAAGAATTTACTTAATTTGTGGAAGTTTATGCTCTTCTATCATGAATCAAGGGTTAACTGTACGATGTAGTAATACGTTCACAATGGAGTGAAAAATAGGGGTTGCGGTGGAATGCAATGTGTTAATGAAGACTATTATGAGTTATTCTCTCTGGAATTATATTGGAATTATATCTAGCGAGAACCTTCCATCAAACAATGCTCATTATTAGGACCCTTGGAAAGCAGTTTAGTTCTCGAACCCAGGTGTCCATGTAACTCAACGGAAAAACTGATTAAATTGCAACTATGGTTTTTTTGGATGACTTCGCTCAGCCGCAGTTTGAATCCTTTTTTACCTCTTCATATTAGCAATTTGCAGAAAACCATTGTGACCAGAATAACAAGCACCATGCTGAAATTTAATTTGCAAAATAATCGGAGGACCTAGACTTTAAACATGTATGTTATCTAATGATCCTAGACTTTAAACAAAAATGATTGATAGATGCTCTAATAACATATATATTATCTACTGACCCTGCTCATATTTGAGTAAATTGGAAAGTTCTAAATCTTGTGTTTGGCTCTAGTCTAGTTCAGGACCTCATGACGACTACTTTTGTATGCGTTTTTGTGTTGATGTCTAGTTCAGATGTTGAACTTATCGTACAGAGTCCTGTTTATCCTCATTGCTGTGGCTACTTAATTTCTGTGTATGGCTGTTAAGGGCTAAAAGATAAAATATCCGTGCATAATTTTACTATCAGTACTCTAGATTATTTGTGATTTTGTTTGAGTCTAGAAAATTTATTTTCTCCGACATACTTTTGCTGTACTAATTTAAATTGTTACACTTTTCATATAAACACTTACCTTTAGATTGTTGAAGTATTCCAGATGATTTGTCACAGATGTACTTTTGTTAATTAAATGCTCTTCTATCTGGACATTGCAGAAAGCAAATGGCTTGGGTCTGCAGGCTATTAGTGGCAGGGATTATTGTCAAGTTACTATACAGTTTCCTAGTGATACGAAACCCAAGTGGGTAAGTATCCTCTGTGATTTTTGTTGATTAACTATTCTCCTTGAGGAGCTTATTTTTTAATTAATTATATATTAGAAGGTTTGATAATGATGACAAGGACACTTAAACAATAATAGAATTCAGCACAAATGTAACCTAGAAATAGATATGAAGGAAAATAATTGAGTAATAGAAAATATTTTAGAAGGTCATAGTATGTACCTACCATATAGCAAACTTCCATTTCGCTGGCCATGTGAGTTGTGTCTTACTGAAACAGTAAGTATCTACTGTCACATTGTGAACCTGTTACATAATGGGACATTCAATTGCATGGGAGCCAGCTTATAATTTTCTGCACTAATGAGGGCTTCAATTGCTAGTTTTTAGAACAAAAGCAAGCATAATTTGATTTTCCCTTTTTTTTGGTGATCCTTACATTGTCATACACACCCAATCTTTTACGAAACTAGTCCCATGCCTTCCATTGCTAAATGCATTAAATGAGTTCTTAAGCTATCTCATTTTGTGGCTTCTGTTTGCAAGAAAGTTATATTTTCAGTTTCATAGTTCTCAAGACAATCTTTTTCATCTTCTTTAATTGATATCCATGTTTTTCCTTGCATTTGTGTATCTGCCACTGTGACACCATGCTGAGTCTGAAGGTCTATAGAATATTTGCTCATCTATTTCTTACTGAAATTTTACTGCTCATCAGAGGGATCCCAAATCTGGAGAACTGGAGGGCTTATCTTTTGATTTTAATCTCTGTGAAGCAGTGGCCACATGGGGGCAGGTGAGTTTGCTAGTTTTTGTGATTCTGGGGAGGTTAATTAATGCAAGTAAATACTAACATTTGGAGGTTTATATATAGTTTTGGATAAAAAGGCAGTAGATCTCCCTGTTTTATTTTCGATACGTCAAGTTTAAAATATCAATTTCCCCCACTCCCCCCTCCCCCCACCAAAAAGAAAAAAAAAACCACCCACCCAAAAGAAAAAAAGCAGCAGGAAAAAGAAAAGAACAACATGACTACTTTTGCTATCTTAAGCCAGCTATAACCCTTGGATAAATGTTGGTTTGCCTCCATTTTTTGTGTTAGTCTAGAGACTTATCTGTAAAAATCTAATAGTACAGCCACAAGGGAGCATTGATGAGGATGCTGCAAAAGCATTATAATATAAGGGTTCTTCTATTACCTTCTATTTTTATCATGTGCATAACATACATCTCTTTGGATGATGTTCATATGATGATCCTGGTTTAGCATGCCAGCACTGTAGTTAGTACTTTGGACATCATCATTAAGTGTATCATCTTGTTTACTAATGCTTTCCTTACCGTGATTTGTTCTCATGGACCTTTTTACCACCAGTGATAGATGAATTGTGTATTAATTGTATATTTTATTGTGATTAAGCTCATCATATGAGTCCAGATACCATTGGTCCATCTGTTGTTCCTTTTTTCTGTTAGACCAACAAAACTCTCAAAAACGTATTGTTTCTAGGTTCGGAACAGTACAACTATACTCACAAAGGAGTTTATTGATGCTCTACCAAATGGGTGGGAGGACTACGCATGGCGCAGGATCAATAAAGGAGTTCAACTGTAAGTATATCTTAGCTTCGAAGTGATGGATGTATATATTCTTCCGATTGATGACGCCAAAGGGCTCTGAGACTGTATTCTTGGAGCTCACGCTTTTGCTTAAACAATTTTAGGAGAAACTATGTGTGTCGTTCTTCCAATCTACTTTGGCACAGTGTTGCTTCTTTTAATATTTCTGGACTTATAAAATATACATAAAAACATGCTAACTTTTTTCTGCTGTTATTCTTTGATGCTCTAGTAATCGATGTGAGAATAAGACACTTTGCATGGAAAAACTCTCTCTGGTACTTCCCGAGATGCCACCATTCATCCCACGGCAGTTTGGTAGGTGTGCAGTTATTGGAAATTCTGGGGATCTTCTTAAAACAAAGTTTGGAAAAGAAATAGACGGTTATGATGCTGTTGTTCGAGAAAATGGTGCTCCAATTCAGGTGCAGTAAAAGAACCTATGCCATCTGAGCTAATATCTGCTCTATTTCATGATCAACCTGTAATTGTTGTTTTCTGCTGTAGAATTACACTGAATATGTTGGAAGGAAAAGTACATTCCGTCTTCTTAATAGAGGATCTGCAAAAGCACTCGACAAAGTAGCAGAATTAGATGGTACGAGAGCTGCACAATCCATCTTTGGCCCTTTATGCTATTGGCATGCTAAATTTTTTTGATTTCGTAGAAACTGGGCAGGAGGTGCTGATTGTCAAAACCACCATCCATGACATCATGAATAAAATGATACGAGTAAGTAAGCTTATCTTTCATTAATTTGTATTCAAGTTTGATTGAGGCGTCTGCCTGCACCCCTGCAATGTAGGAGAGTTACAAATTTTAATTGCAAGTAACATGTAAATATTTTATGCTTATTTTCTATTTCCTCTCCTATCCTTGACAATATGGCAAAGAAAGATAGCTTGGAAAGAACAACTGTGATCCTGTGTCTCATACTTAGGAGTTAGGACTCAGACGTAGCTTGATGCTTAATTGTAGTGCATCACTCACCATTTTTTATTTCTGAAGGGCAAAATAACTACTTTTAGGGGCACTTCAGATTCAGCCTCTGTAATGATGCATAAAATTCATATGATACGAGTCTATAGAACTCATGCATATAAGCACTAATGAATCTTTGAAAATGATGGAACATAATATTTTTTCTTGAGGAATTCCAACTTTATCATGATAGTCAAACTGCTATGCGCTAACATTCTACTGGGCATTAATACAATTAATGATTTAATATACTTTATTTCCTGATATCCCTTGGAATGTCAATTTATGCAATGTGGATTAGGGTACTTGAAAGGCTGGTTTTGACATTTTTTATTGAATAAGAATAATGGAAGTACTTATTTGTATTCAAATCACAGCAGATAGAAGATCAGCTTGATTATCCTCTACAGAAGGTTTGTGGAGTTATATAAAAACTTGTCACGTTATATTAATTTTGAATTACAAAATTTAATGGTATTTTTTGTTGTCTCTGGTTTTCTGTTCTTGTATGTACCCATGTTAGATGTCGGGTTTGAAATTAGAAATTAGTCAAATCTTGAGTGGCTCACCTATATTTACTAGTTTGCTGCATATGAATTCTAATAACAGGCTTTGTATTTTTCATAACTAGTATGGAGCACGTGCGTTGCACGTGTATTAATTTCATGTTTAATTAACCTATCATATCTAGAGTATTTGTTATAAGATCAGATTGTATAAAGTTTGGTATTTAAATGTTCTATGTCTACGAATTGTAGTTTAGGTACAAATGTTTTTACAAATTTATATTTGGAAAATAACGAATGTGACCATTTAGAATGATAATTAAATTAGTTATTAATATTAGTCTCCATACTACAAAGTACCACCAATTACCAATATCAAAGGTTATACGTTTTCTAGTGCATATAGTTGCATTAGTAGTAAATTATAGAAAAGACAGGACATTTATATCATTGTTGTCTAAGCCCTGTTTTCATGGGAAAAAAAGTTATTTAAGAAATAATATCAACAAATGCAATAATAATCACGCCAACCCGAGTCACTGCTTCAAGCGTATTTTGGACAAACACCCTTATAGATCTCCAATGGGGCTCCACTTATTTTGGTTACTCCACAACATGAACAACTTGTTCACCATGTAGTAAGAAATAAGCATGCTATACGATCAGTAAGAATACACATGCTACATACTTGGTAAAATATCTAACAAAGTCCATTAAAAATTTAAGCATGCTATACTTGTGAAAATTTCCTAGAGTGATTGAAGAAAAGAAAAATGAAATTTAAGAGGAGATTGAAGGATGTGAACAAAGTAGGTGAAATTAAGGAAAAAGAAAAAAAACTTGATGAAATGGACCGAGATTCCTTCTAGAAGTTGAAGGGCTCAAATCGAGGATCTTCGACTTTTGAGATATCTTAAAATGCTAAAATGAGATGAAAAGAAAAAAATTTAAAAGACTAAACTTTTTTTAATCACAAGAACTAAAATAACTCCCATAATTTAAAATTTTTGAACCTTAACCAATTATTCATCAACATCTTAGAACATATATACAAAACTAACCCTTTTCTCTTGATGACTTGAGTTCATCTGCTCAATATTGCTGTAAGGAACAAAGAACAATAAATAGGGATTAGTTAGGTGGTGAATAGGATTTTAACAAATAGTGAGATTGGATATAATTAGAGATCGAGGCCCTCTTATTTCCATGTGTTTTGTAATCGACTCGATCATGTTATGTGATTATTGTTCTTAAGCAACGCTGTAACTGAAAATTTATGAATTAAGAGCCAATTCATGGTTTGGATCGATGGGTAATTAATGTTCAGTTATGGGCAAGGAGTTAGTGGGATGATGGAAACTGCATGGAAAATTCAGAATAGATAACGAAGAGTTAATGTGCATTGATTAATTAGTGAGTAACAATAGGATTAATGGATTGGACTGAATTGGAAATTCATAAGCATTTAATTGAGAGGTTATAAATACAGAGCTATAACATTCTTTCTCTTCTTCGTTTCTATTAATTTAACAGGCTAGCCAAGCTTGCATGCCTATTAACATCCTTTCCTTTTCTTAATATTATATTAAAATATTATGTTATTAATACTATAATTAATATATTATGTTATTCTAAATTTTGAAATTATATTTTGCTACTATGATATATTATAAAAAATTTAAGATAGTACAATATCACACCGTTACTAATATTATAGTAAAATGGTGATAATAATTTTTCATGTCATCATATTTGATACTATTATTTTTCTACCATAGATAAATCATAAATAATATGATTAGATTAGATTTATAGTGGTTTAGTAAGAAAATGAATGGTTGTAACGTTTTTTTAATTATGATAGTGATAATTAGTGAGAATTATAAGAGACTAATATGTTAATGGGAGGTTATAAAAATATAAACAGCTTAGTCATGGAGAAATTATTTGGGGTTATAATGAATAATAATGCATTTAATTGAGGGTTAAGTATGTATGAAATATGGTTTATGCATGGATGCATGTATTTTATGTAAGCATGTATGTGTTTTAAAGGGCATTTTTGAAAGAAATGTTTTAACATGCCAACACATTTTTATAATAGTATTAGATTTAATTATGATAGTGATAATAGTGAGAATTATAAGAGATTAATATGTTAATGGGAGGTTATAAAAATATAAACAGCTTAGTCATGGAGAAATTATTTAGGGTTATAATGAATAATAATGCATTTAATTGAGGGTTATGTATGTATGAGGTATGGTTTATGCATGGATGCATGTATTTTATGTAAGGATGTATGTGTTTTAAAGGGCATTTTTGGAAGAAATGTTTTAACATGCCAACACACTTTTATAATAGTATTAGATATTAGATTTGCATGATATAAATGGGAAATGTCCTTTATCTCATGAGAATTTTAAATGCATATGGTCTTTGGTGAATCTGATAATAGAGCTATGAGGTTCGTTAATATTTAGGTGCACCTACACTTGCCAAGCTAGCTTAACTATACTTGTTTCTTGTTTCTATAGGAAGTCCCAATTCGTAATCCCGTATATCTGATGCTGGGTGCATCTTTTGGTTCTGCTGCTAAAGGGACAGGGCTCAAGGCTCTTGAATTTGCTCTCTCTCTCTGTGATAGCGTTGATATGTATGGTTTCACGGTGGATCCAGGTTACAAGGAGTGGTAAAGTATAAGAAAGATGCATCCGTCTTTTTCTAAAGAAGCTCATGGCATTCTAGTGATTTCATTCAAGATAAGGGGTTTTCTTTTTTCTCAGGACAAGGTACTTTTCAGAATCGAGACAAGGACACACACCATTGCATGGTAGAGCATATTATCAGATGATGGAGTGTTTAGGAGTAAGTTTCTAAGCACCATTTTTTCTTCAGTCTCACCGTTGTAACGAGGATATAACATGAATGAGACTAACCTGTATATGTTTTCCCCCTCTATCAAGCTTATCAAGATCCACTCTCCAATGAGGGCAGATTTCATCCGGGTGGTAGAGTCGCTACCGAGTCAGAGTACAATTGATGCTGCACGAAGTGCATCGGAGAAACTCTTGAGGTAACAAAAGGTTAATACACTTCTGGTTAAATTACTTTTAAGGCTTGTTTGAGGTATAGGAAAACTAAAGGATGTGAATTAGCATGAAGCAAACCAGCTGATATCACATCATGTAACTATAGAACAATCATTGTCTTTCGTGATTCAATTTCGTTATTTAATTTTGAGAAACACCGAGACAACTGTTCATGGTTAACACACTCTAGCTAATCTCACGTTATGTTAATATAGGAAAGAACTCACTCTTCAAATAGTAGGTCAGAAGCTAGCTAATCTCACATCATGTAAATATATAATAAGCCTGTTCTTTCATGATTCATTTCATTAATTAATTTTGAGAAGCACTGATATAAGGACGGTTAATATACTCTAGCTTATCCCACAATAAGTGTTGTGATTTTATTGTTACCCTCCTATGCGCATTTTAGGGGAGTAGATAGCCCATGACGAAACTGAATAGAAGAGTAGAATTCATGTCACAGACTCCAAAAATTAGGTATAAAGGCTTTTGTTGTGGTTGCTCTTATGAGCATTTTAATTTATAGTTGAAACAAAATAGTATGGTAAACTTATCATAAGTTGTAATGTTGTCTCTTTTATGTAGGAGGGTTGGAGGTGGAAAGACAGACCCATGGCGTGCATGTTCTATCATCAAGAAGCGGGAGAAGGAGAAGACTTCAAATATCGCTGGTGCTAGAGATGCTGCGGTCGATCATCAAAAGTATGTTAAAGGTGCAACATTGTATCCTTTGGAGCATAGTGTCGGACATGGAATGCTCTGTATTGTTCCTAAATGAGATAGCATTTTGACAAAATGGGGATTCACAGCATTTTCACGAAGAAGTTTCTGCCGTCGAGCAGTCACCTTAGGAGCCTAAGGTGACACGGTGAGCTTCAGCTGATTTTCGTGCTCCCTGCCAGTAAGGAAGAGAAATTTTCAACTAATATTAGACAAAAATCATCAGAAGAATGAGATGCAAAGACACACGATTCCAACCTGATAGCTGAAATTCTTCAAGATTTTTTAACAGATGTGAAGGCGAGTGTAATTGTTTGCTTCTTGAGTGTGCATTGTAACTGATTCCTTAATTCATTTTGGGCAGTGTCATAATCCAGAATTTCATGTTTTTCCATCTATGTTTTCATACTTCGTCATGGGTAATAGTAAATTATTTCTAAATTGTAATTTATAGATTATTGGGTAATTATACCCGGTTCTTTCTCTGCGTGCTGCTCCTATATCTACAGCTATTGGCATTGCTTTGCAGTCTTCCTGATTTCAGTTCAGCCTGTAAGAACAAATTTATTCTGAGATTTATATTAGATAATGTATTTAAATCAGTGTTTTCTTGTTTCCATTACTTCAGAGGATAAGAGATTTATTGTTGGTGGAAAGTTGGTGGTAGCTCGCTATCAATGCTATGCCTTTTAGCTGGTATTTTACTTCCCTAAGAGATCTAAGACTATAAAATTATGTGTAGATGCAATCATACAATGTGCGTTCAGATGTGATTAAAGTTATATATCTGAAGAAGAGAAATGTAAATAATTTTTAGGATGCAGTTGCTGCCGTCTCTTGATGATGCAATAATTTACGAAGGTTTTTCATCATGGTCGAATCTGGTGGATTTGCCTCAGCAAGAATTGGAACTGGATAGAATAAATGTAAAAACTAGCATAGAAGCTAAAGACAATAATTTATTGGCATTATTGGCTGTATGATTCTCATATCCTTCATTTTTCTCCCCTGTAAATCTCCTCTTTCTCAGCTCCATACAGAATCTGTCAAAGGAGACATCCAGCGTGACCTGAAGTGAAAGTTATATATAAGCAATTATTGGTTTATGTTGATTTTGGTACCTTGGCGTTCATTATGATCCACGTGTAGGAGACAAAGTTCTGGTATGAGTTCCTTCAACGATGAATGGCCGCATGAAACCACGTGTAATCGATCAAAGCCCGACTTGGTTTTTTCTGGGGGAGGGGCTTTACTTTTTCTTTTCTTTTTTTAATTTATCGCGGACAGATTCAATGTATGTGGCCAATTGAGATGTGATTGAAGCTTCGTACGTACAAATTGTTGGTCCTACAGGAGTTTAAATGAAAAAAAAAAGAAAAAGAAATGTCGGTCCTACACCAACGAGGCGTTGGTACTTTATGTTTAACATTTAATTAACCTTTATGATTCTCACGTTCGTAGGTTTGTTACCAACTTATGGAGTTTTCCAAGCTTAAACGATGATTTTCTGTTATAGCTTTTCACTAGAAGCTTTTTTTGACCGTTTGTTTCGAGAGAAACTAAATTAGACAAAATGTTGGGGTTTGCTTTACATCTCCCTCTCTCTCTTGGTAAGGGAATATCCTCTATGATCCTTCTAGGGGCTGTTTGGTTCGTAAAAATTTTTGTCGGTTCGGATTGGATTACAAATTCTATGATCAAAAGGTAACATTTTGTTCTCTTTTTGGAAGGTAAGCTCGTGAAGATAAGCAGATTCACTTCTCATTCTTTTGTAAATTGAAATAAATAATAGATTACAAATTCTAAAAATTATTATCCTATAATTTTAGGTTTGAACCAAACAAGGGTTTACAAATTTTAGAATTTCTTATAATAATATTGAACTAAACAAAATATTAGAAATTTCAAAGCATGTATAAAAACGCTATGCAATATTTAAATTCTCATGACATTATAAATCCTAAAATTTTAGGGTTCGAACCGAGCAATCCCTTAAGCCTTCTATGTTTGGTTGGAGGGGAGAGGAGGAGAGACGAATGCTTTTGTAGTTCATTTTCTCTCTCATCTTGAATCCTCTAAATTTGGAGGGATTCTTCTCGCTCTAGCTTTTTAAATCATTTTGTGATGTCCCCTCCCCTCACTCTACCTCACCCTAAAATACTCCTACCAAAGGCAAATATAAATTTTATCCCTCTTCTTCTCTTACCTTCCCTCATCTCAAACCAAGCCTAAGGGGGTACCTCCAAGGCTCCAACGCATAGTCTCAAATATTCTAATAAACTAAACTCGTATGGGTACTTATCAGGAGAGTTAAATTTTAGACGTTGGAGTATCACTTATAGGCAGCTTGTCAACTCGGGTAGATTCTCTTAAGTATTTATTTTACATATCTACTAAAACAAATAAGAGAATAATGCTAATATTATAAGGCAATGTTCTTATCAAATTTTTTTCAAAATAAATACAAACTGATCGAAAATCAACAGTAGTAAAATCTATCATGCCATGAATTGATGCATGCATCGACTTATAGAAAATGCAAAAATATCATTAGTTTGGATCTTCCAGGCTTGATCCTGACTGCACTTTCAAAAGGACACGACTACTTGATTAATTAGATAAACGAAAGGAGAAGACGGATTAAAAAAAAAAGGTAAAGGAGAAAGACCGACCCTAAAGCCGAAGGAAGATCCAATAAATTAAGCGGGCCCTGACCGTGAGTCTTATTGGGATCGGATCCAACAGTATCCGACCCGTTTCGACCCCTAATAAGGCTTCTCGGGCTGAGCGCCCACAGTCAGTACTGCGCACAAAGAGATCTGACACGCAATTACCTCATCCCGAAAGTGTACTGACGCTAGTAAATAAAGAGACCCAAACCGTTAAATAGAAAGCACTGAAGATTTATGCATATATACATACCACATATATTGTATTTGCAAATCTACCTTCAAAATCTAAATAGACGTTAATTTACTCCCCAAATCATCCACATTGTTTCTTTTAGGATCCAAACTTCAAACGTAATTATAGAAAGCAACCAAGTTTATAAATAATTTATCAATTTAAGTTATATTTAGAGAGAAAGAGAGATGTGTTGAAAAACCAATTATATCCTCTCCTCCCTCTTTTTAACTGTACAATTTAATAAAAAAAAAATATCTAGAGGCGGAAGAAAATAACATTGAAGGTCTGTGTAGATGAACAAATATCTAGACTTCGAGAACAATCTGCAAATTCCATATATTATGCGGGCATACACGCGAAAACCCCAAACGAAAAAGAAAATTACCCATGTACCCCTCCCCTCCCATAAATCCCCCCACCCGTAACCCCCCTTCTTCTCCTTCGCTGCCATTCCCACCCCAATTTATCAAAAACACCCTCCCATCTCCTCCTCCCTCGCTCTCTCTCCCACTCGAAGTGGAGACCAATGACCTAATTTCCCCAAAACCCTAACCCTCGCTGGCATCTCCGAACCCAAAATCAATGGAGATCCACCGCTTCCGTCAGCTGCTCCTCCTCCCGCTCCGCCTCCAAACAACCCGTGTCGCCCTCGTGGGTGGAAACCACACCGCCGCCCGGTTCTGCACCCGCTAAGCTCAACTCCCCACTTATCGCTGTTAAACTCTTTTTACTCTCTCTCTCTCTCTCTCTCTACACTCTTCACAAAGCTGAGATCTTTGAAAGTTCAGTGATCGGTTCGGCCTGAAACGAGCTATGGAGCTCGTGATTCTGCTCCCCGACCCGCGGACTCTGCGGGTGATCGCCAGATCCGTGCTTCTGGCTGCTGCTTTGCTCTCCTTGCCCTGGTTCCGTGCGATGCACGTGCACTCCGGCGACGGATCCGCTCCGGCGGTGGATCCGGATGAAGCCGACCCGAAGTGGGCCGACGGTCCGTTAGCGGTCCGCATGCTCGTTGCGGATCTGAAGCGCGAGGGGCTGTTCAATCCGGGGCTCCGCAACGTGTTTATTGGGGATCCTTCGCTGCTCGTTAATGGGTTGGATCTGATGCGAGAATATAAGAAGTCGTTCGTGGGGGACAACTCCGTGGATTTTGTTCTTGCCGCTGACGGGCTCGGAGACCCGGATCTTGGGTTTGTGGATCGGGTCTTGAAAGTTGGAGGGATTGTGGTGGTTCGCTTAGCATCCGACCCGAATAGGCTGTTTCGCCTGCCATCGAATTACAGGATGCTGTATATCCGGCGGTTTGGGGCGACTTTCGTGGCCATCAAGAAGATTTCCCACGGCAATGCCGATGAATTTGGCGGCGGGTTGAGGGGCCGCAGGCTGTTGTCGGCAGCCAAATTGAAGAAGAAGCAGCGTAAGAAGGCAATGTACCTTATAAGAGTGCTAGTGACGAGCGGCTCATCGGATGAGCAATTGATCGAAATTAGTTATGGGGCTAGAGCTGGTGAGTTCGAGGTTGTGGTGGTTGCTTCGTCTGGAGGAGGATTGAAGGAAAGATTTGCGAAATGGTTGGAGATGAAGATGAAAGGGATTGTCGGTGGTTTTTGGGGTGTTTGATGCTTCTTCATATGGAAATGGTTAGAGATGGGTTTGGCAATGGGTTGAAGAAATGAAGCTTGGAGTATGTTTGCTTTGAGTTAGTTGCTTGGTTCAAGTATTTTATGCGGTGTGTGCAATAAGAGATCCTGTTGGGGGTGCTAAAACTGGTTTTTAGTGCTTTCAGCTTGGATGGTGAGAGTGTGGTTTGCTTTGGTTTCAGTTCCTTTAGTAGAGGTTGGTTTGTGTTATTGTTATTGTGTTTGTTTAGTAGATGATGATGTGCTGCTTTCCTTATATCTATGAAACAAGTGATTGTGACTTTTAAAGTATTGTTTTCTGCATGTTTAGGGGCTGTTTGGTTCGATTTCTATGAAAAAAATACCTAAAAATTGATTTCTATGTATTTCTATAATAAAAAAATACAGGAGAAGTTTATAGAAATTTAAAAATTGGTGTTTTTTATTTTTTTAATCTTTCTTTGTTTGGTTCAAAATACGAAAAAGAAGAAAAATCAACTTTATAGAAAATGAGTTGAGAAGCGGAAATTGATAAGCTCGTACAAAAACTATTATTTAAATCAATGCGTTAGATTTCTCATAAATTTCCTCTCATTCTGAGAGAAAGTTTATTTATATAAAACGTGATGTTTTGTTCTCTACTTTATAGAAAATATTTTTATAATTTTTTTTAAAGCAAACATAGTTTATAGAAAACTATAGAAAAATTTTAATTATAAAATTGTCATTGTCAGGTCTTTTCCTAAAACTTTTCTACAAAATGGGTGAACCAACCACCGCCTTACTTCCGGATGCTTCTTGTTTATATATATTTGGATGCATGCTTCATTCTAGTGTTTATTTTGTATTCTTTTAGGCGTTGTTTGGCAACTTTGAGAATAAACAAGATCAATTTTTGAACTAGCTTCGCTTGGCGTGCATCAAGCTAACCTTTATTGAACTAGTTATAGTTCAAACTCAAGCTAGCTAATTTTTAGATTAGACCCTATTTAAACTAGTTATCTGTTAAACAAAGAGCGAAATGATTTATTTCTAGTTTAGTTATTGAGCAAAAGTGAACCTTAAAAAGAACTAATTTACTCTATAATTTTTACTTGCCAAACAGACCCTTATGCTCAAGTAATAACAAAAGTTTGGGAGAATCTTCACTTTATCTCGACAATGATCATGATGTAAAGGAGCTCGTCTTGTTATCTTAATAACAATATATGAAAGTACTGCTAAAATGTAGAAGTCTTTTTCTCCAATGTGAATTGTACAAGAAAATGTTAAATTAACTAAAATTTCTTATTCTACTATACTCGTATAGGCGAGTGACAAAAATGCCAAAGCCTCGTAATTTATCTTGAAAACGGACAGTCACACAAGTATTATCTTGAAATATAGTACAATACGCTCTGTCGACCTGAAAGAAAATTTTTCGGACAAATTTTCAAAACCAACCCCTTTCACTATTTATTTTCAAAAAACAACTGCATTTGCAAAAATTTTCAAAAACCGACCTGGTTTCAGTCCTGGAACTGAAACCAAGTCGGTTTTTGAAAATTTTTATCCGAAACTTCACGGGAGTTGAACTCCCGTGAAGTTTAGTAAAACTGCTAAACTTCACGGGAGTTGAACTCCCGTGAAGTTTCGTAGTTCAATTTTTTTTTTGGAACTGCGAAACTTCACGGGAGTTCAACTCCCGTGAAGTTTAGCAGTTTTACTAAACTTCACGGGAGTTCAACTCCCATGAAGTTTAGCAGTTTAATTTACGAAGTTTCCGAAGTTTTTCACAAAAACCGACCTGGTTTCAGCGCCAAGACTGAAACCAGGTCGGTTTTTACAATTAAGTTTGAAAGAGGTTGTTTTCTGAGATTAAATTTTCAAATAGGTTGGTTTTGAAAATTTGTCCAAACTTTTTCATGTTATAATATGTTCACGGTCTTCGTATATGAAAGGTTTATGTTATCATAGGAATCTCAGGCCCACCACGAATCATGGGGTAATTCTCTAATTCTCAAATTTAGCCACCTTCTTATTATATTTGACCAAATATTATTATTTTTTCAGTGAAACTCATATTATTATTATTTTATTAATAAAATAAAAAATACTCTTGATAAATAGTAATAGATTAGACCATAGAAGAATTATGTTTACTCTTAAGTACAAGATGATTCCGCCAGAAATACTAATACTATATTTTAAAAATTTGAAGAGAAATGTTGTGGGTGAATAGAGATTTTAAATTTGTCATGAAGGAGATTACCGAACGTGTCGAGTTCAACGCTGCTATGACCTTGACCGAGAAGGTGCACGATATGTTAGCATATCACCTGTAAAGTTCCTAATTTTGTAGTAAAATTTACCAAGATATCTGTATATTCTTTTCCTTGACAGATAAGATGTTCGGAGAGGGCCGTGAGATTTGCTACATGACAATTGAAAACTTGAGTTTTTGAAAAGTTTTGAGCTTTGTATGGGGAAAAAAAGGCTTGTCATTTGATTTCCACTAACTTTTTGGGGGACGAGGGAGGGGCAGTTTTGATAAGGGAGCATAAGGGGGTGTTTGGTTGCATTGTTTTTGAGAAATGTTTTCTTAAAAGTACTGACGCATGGCATTTATGTAATTAAGAGTTTTCTATACATTTCTATAAACTGTGTTTGGCTCTAAAAAAATTTACAGAAATGTTTTCTGTAAAGTGACCAAAAGTACCAAATTTTATGGAAATTGATTTCCTTCTAAAATGAGAGGAAATCTCTTGGAAATCTGACGCATTCATTATTTAAATAATAAAACTCATTAACTCTTTTCTACAAAGTTTTCACTTTTCTATAAAGTTGGTGGTGTTTGGTTACATTTCTATAAATTATAGGAAATGTTGCTATTTTCCTAAAAGTTATTTCTCATTTTCTTATTTTGAACCAAACAAGCACAATACAAAAAATAAGAAAATTTGTAATTTTTAACTTATCAAAACTTTTCCTATAATTTTTTTTAAGAAATATAAGGAAATCAAATTTGGGATAGAAAACATTTCCTATAATTTATAGAAACGTAACCAAACGCCCGCTAAACGAAAGCGGAAAAATCATTTAGTTTCGGATCTTGATCCACACACCTGCGATATAGATCCTACCCGGTTGGGCCCATTTAAACACATCCGCAACTCTCTTGACCCTATTCCTCAGTTCAACCAAGCCTATCCTCCTCCTCCTCCTCCTCCTCCTCCCAATCCATCTCTAGAAAAACCCTAACCCTAATCTCTAATCATTTCGATCTCATAAAAATATCGAGAAAATAGCTTAAAATATGGCGTTCTGCCTCCATTCGATCTCTTCCTCGCCTTTACACGCTCCGAGCAACGATCACAAACCTGCTCTGAGGTGAAATCCCATTCTAAAAAAAACTGCATTTTCCCGTGATTTTCATTTATTATAATTTTATTTATGTCATTCTTTTTTTTTCACCTTGTTTGTATTCAGCTGCTCGACGAAAGTTTTTGTGGGTCTAAAGCCCCAGTCAGCTGGTAATTTGATTGATTATTTTACCTTATTTGGATCCTAATTTTGGGTAATATAGCGACTAATGGATTCAACCAAAGTTTTAATTTTGATTGAGCAGGTGCCTTTGGTATTGGCAAGCCCAATGTAAATGTTGATTTTCACAGCAGGGTTCATAAAAGCCTCTCAATAAGGTGACATTTTTCTATCACTTGCGTTTGCGATTAGAAAATAAAATAGGATTATCTTTTGAGAATATTGCTTATGGTCATATTCACAATCTAGTTGTTCTTTGTCTTTGTTTTCCTCTCGCTGGTCTATAACTTGATTCAATATTTGTTATATGCAAAAGAAATTTTCTTTTGCCATTTTCATGTCCAAATATTTGTGAATGTATAGAATTTTGAAAGATGGTATATCTTATCAATCATTAATGAGATGGTGAAAGCTCAGCCACTCTCGTTTTAGTACTGATGATGCCTATGTTTTAACTGACCTAACTTGATGCATGGTCATTGAAAGCTTCACTGTAATTGTAAAATGGCGAACTGTGAGAATAAAAAAGAAACTGAGAGTGATAGTGGTTCTTATTGTTTACTACTTTATTTTCGGTAAAACAAGAAACTGAAGTTTTTGTTAAATACAGAATGAAAATGAGATAACTTTATGAAACGGGCAAAATGTTCTGGCCTTATAAGATCTTACTTAAGACCTGGCAGATCTTGTATGCGTTTCAATTGGTCTGACTTAACAGGGTTTTATTTGCATCTTACGATTATTACCCGTTCAATGGAAAGTAGAAAATTTAAGGAAATAATAAAGTCCTTTCCTGATGTCATAGATTAAGTTACATTTTTTATCAGGAACTGTGTGTTAGATTTGTCTATATTTAAGTGTTGCCATGAATTTGATGATGGTTTTGTAAATTTATTAGATGATACTTATGTAAATCTGTCATGTGTTTTAGGGTTTCTAATGCGAACCCAACACGTGCAAGAATATCTATGATGCCCATTGGTACGCCAAGAGTACCATATCGAACTCCTGGTGAAGGAACTTGGCAGTGGGTCGACCTTTGGAATGCTCTTGTAAGATGAAAGTTCTTATGCGTTGGGCTTAATCCATTCTGTTAACTTTCTCTATGCCCTGTCTTGTTGGAAACTGAGACTTTATTTGCTTTTTCCAGTATCGTGAGCGTGTTATCTTCATTGGACAACATATAGATGAGGAATTTAGCAACCAAGTATTAGCGACAATGTTGTACCTCGATAGCATCGAGTCATCAAAACGGCTACATTTATACATCAATGGTCCAGGTGGTGATGTGAGTGCTATTTTACAGTAATCATTTTTCTTTAGAAGTTACTTTTGCTCTATAATTTGGAAGTCTTTTCTTTCACCACAACTTTTTTCTTTGATTCTCAAGAAACAGTTATAACATTTTTGTCGTTGACAATTGAATTCGAGTTACATATATCTGTGTTCCCAAATGCAAGCCACAATTCCAAAGGCAAACTAATATCACTTAAGAAAACACTACATCTCTTACTAGTTCTTCTTTTCAACCCAGGAAGTCGTATGTATAGAATGACCTGTATAATGCACTGGAATGTCTCAGAGAGGGGCACACGTACTTGATACTCTGACCAAACATGAATATCAGCTATTATGCACAACCATGTTTTTTCCGGTTCTTAAACACGGTTAAGTATATAGCCTGAGATGCAGCCAACAAAATGACAGTGGTCAGACATAGTTAGGAAATAGGAAAGAACCCTCTCATGCTATCATTTTTCTGGTTTGACACCTGGCACCTATTTACCCCTAGAAACCTGCAGATCTGCATGTATAAATATTTTTCAGTTCCATGCTGCATCTGGTTCCGATACTATTGCAGTAGGTTGTTATAGTTTTAGTTGGGTCTGCGCTACAAAACTTTTCCTGCTTCTTAAGCTCTCAGGGAATTTTGTTAGGTGTTCAACATTGTTAAGGTTTTTAAGTAGCGTTGCTTGTAAATTGACAAGGGGAACCAATGTATGCTTCAATTTCTAGAAATCAACGAGAGGAAAAAGTGAATACATACCTTCCCTGAGACCCCAAACTCCACCAGATCTGGGCTCCTCAGCCGTTTATGCTGATTCTTATGCATTTGAACCACACCTATGTGATACTAATCCATACCTATCAGTTGTCTACTGAAAGCTTCTCTTTATTGTACTAGCATATAAGTTGGTATCCTTTTTCAGTGGAAACTCAATTCTGTTGGTAAATTGTAGCGCAGCAGGTCTATCATATTTTATGTTTTATACTTATAAATTATAGCGCAGCAGGTTTATCACTACTGTAATTTTCAGACATCTCAAAGAATGACCTTCCTTAAGATATTTATATCTACTTACAAATTTTATCTGAAGTTATAGTCTATTTTGTGTTTTATACTTAGAATTGAACAATTTGCAGCTTACACCAAGTATGTCCATATATGACACCATGCAAAGCTTGAAAAGTCCTGTTGCTACCAACTGCGTGGGCTATGCCTATAACTTAGCAGGATTTCTTCTTGCTGCTGGAGAGAAGGTATGGTCACTTTGGCAGTGTTTTATTGTTAGACATCTAACTTATTTGTTTGTTCTTGTTTTACATCTTATTAAGGGTAGCCGTGTTGCCATGCCTCTCTGTAGAATTGCACTTCAGTCACCAGCCGGAGCTGCTCGTGGCCAGGTACAATTTGCAGTCATCGACTAATGGTATAAGCTGACACTGTGTAACTCTGAAGTTTAATTTATCAATGTTTTATAATAGGCTGATGATATTCAAAATGAAGCAAATGAGCTCCTTCGAATCAGAGACTATCTGTTTGGGGAATTGGCCAAGAAGACTGGGCAACCTGTTGAAAAGGTAAATCTAACTGCACCTTTCATTTCTTCAGTTCGCAGGTCCCTGTTTCTTGGGAATTTCGTTAAGCTTTAGGTTCCCTGTTGTGTCATGTTCAATATTTTAGCTGTGCATCAATTTGATCTTGTGATTCGAAAAGTACTCGTTCGCTATTTTACAGTACATGCGAGTTAGGTCACTTTAACTAGACGTTTCCAAACCTGCGTGGTGGATTATCACCATCCAAGCCTTGCTCCCATAATGAGGGGGTGGCTGAAGAACAAGACTAAGTTCAGAGAACTTAAAATTTACTCAAGTTTTGTGACTGGTTCTCAACGTGATATCAGCCCTCATGAGTTGGTGCCAGATTCCCGACCGAGGGAACTACAAACTGACTCAAAATCTTGCTGGCTAGTTAGTGGATGGGAGAGCTCTCTTTTCTTTCACCAAACAGCTTAAGTTCACGCAACCTAGAAGTATGGGTTGGAGAGTTATTTTAGATCGATTCTTTTCACACAAACTAATACGTTAGCATTCTGGCTCTGAGAGATGTCGACGTGGCACCTGTTGGTTTCTTTTCACACAAACTATCTACTACCACTCTCTGGACGCTTTGCCTTTTTACTAATTGGCTCACATTTTTGGGATTGCTCTCTCAATGTGGCACAATTATTGCGTAGTTTGTTAGTTCATATGCCCCATTAATATTGTCAATATTCTCATTTGTTCAAGTTGTTCGTGATCTATTACAGATCCACAAAGACTTGAGTCGAATGAAGAGGTTCAATGCGCAGGAAGCCCTGGAGTATGGGCTAATTGATCGGGTCCTAAGACCAGCCAGAATCAAGGCTGATGCACCTCGCAAGGAAGTAGCAGGGACAGGCCTTGATTAAGTTTGTGTGATTGTAACAGTTTTAATCTAATGTATCCAATAACAAGATTCTCATGAGATGAAGCGTGGCGAGTTAAGAGTTCTTTTGTTCTTCCTTCATGGTTTTCAGAAAGATGCAGATGTTTAAATTGAAGGTTATATTTGTTAAGCACTCATCACATGATTTTCAAGTGAGAAAAAAGAATCCATGCGAATCGCTTCTCCATTTTTTTTTCTCGTGTATGATTCTTATTCATCGTTAAAAAAAAATCACATAGCGTATGTGTTTCTTTCATTACACTGACTCGTGGCGGAAAATTTCAACTTCAGATGGATGATACTGACCTTTTTTTCTGGCTGGAGATGACTTTGCGTTTTCATTCTTTGCACTTGTCAACCACGTGCATTTCGCTCGCCTTTGATCCAAGTATAATGTGACATAATGTCAGCAAATAATAATAATAAGAGGATTTGGAAAAAACAAAAATATCAGCAAGTGAGAATCAAATAGAGAGCGGAGCATCCAATATTTGTTCAGACAAATTCCTCTGACCCAGTTCTCAACTTAAAACTCATTGGAAGCAAATTACACAGCAGACAAGCTCAGGTTAGGCTGCGAAAGTACTGCGCAACAATTCACTCGTGATTTTGTGAAAGTTTTCTCCTGAGGATTCACCACGGGCCAAGACCTTTTCGGTAGAAATATAATTCTTCTGCCCTGCTTGGCATGTTAACTTGCATTTGGAGAGACAATGATATGGAAATACTCGCCACCATTGCTGAAGCCTATACGAGTAATCACATTCTCATCATATAAATAACTCACTCAAATTTTACACGAAAGAAGTACTCCCACACGAGTAATCCCATTGCTGAAGCCCATACGAGGAATTGGCGATAGCAAAATCTCTCAAATTTTACAAGAGAGAAGTACACCCCCAACGAGTAATCCCATTCTCATCATATAAATAACTCACTCAAATTTTCCATCTGACCGTTCTTGTTAGACCGAAAAATAATAACAAGAACACCCTCCTCACATTATGGAGACCTAAATGCCATCCTTTTATTTAATCACCTCATCACAATCAACCGCCTGATAACCACACCATCTTGCATTTCTACACTCATAAAAGTCTTGCCAATCTACGTGTCTTCCTAAAAAAAATATATCTGAGAGAAAAGAAGACGCACATAATACTTTCTACTCGAACTATGCTTGTAAAATATAAGACCCAGTCGAACAACAGTTCTACAAAAACAGATCCTATAATTACACATCTATACTACTAGAGACAAGTAGTAGCCAGTAAAGGCCCTAGCTATTTACTCCAGGCACTATCTTGAGAACACTTTTTTTCACCTACGGCGATGCTGGTGAAGCCTCTGAGCTTCTGCTACCGCTATCCTATCTGCATACATTGGGAGGCGAACTGTCTCTGCAATCTCAGAGAGCAATACTTCCTCCGTAATATTGTCCTTGATACTGCGCATAACCTGTGTCCATTACCAAAATTATTAAGTGAAGATTTTCCTTTTGAAAAACTTACAAGAATGATTAAATAAAGCTAAGGTGGAAAACTTATAAGAATGATTAAATAAGGGTAAGTTGCATATGAACCAACCCCCCGCCCTCAAAATTTAAAAAAAAAAGGAAAGAAAAAGAGAGGGAGAGAGAACCCCAACCAACAAAAAAAACCCTCCAAAAAACCCCTCATTTATATAGCCAACCCAAAATTTTGGATGAAGGCTTTGTTGTTGTTGTAACCCCCCTCAATTCATGTGGAACAGGGGTGTTCGCGATTATCTTACTAGAAATGGCATTTCACGGGTGCTAAACATGAGTTAGGGGGATTTGGTGCAACTGAAGGTACAGATGCAAGGGTTATAAGCAACTCACCCTTACATAATACATGAAATCATATAATTTGTTAAAAATAGATATTCTCTCAAACCCAAAATCTTTACTGATAAATTGTATTCCCATTTCTCTTGGATCTCAATGAAAATTTCCATGTGAAATTCAGGCATGAGCAGTTTGCATTAAGTTTACCTTTCTGTAAGTGTTGATATCATTTGGAGTGGATTTATCCACTCTAACACGCATACACACCCAGCTGTCGGCATCTGCATCCCAGCAGCACTCAACAATCTTGCCAGAGAGGGAAGAGATGTCCTCATCACCTACAAATAAGCAAGTGAGGTCTTAGAACGAAATCATAAATGATAATGCTAAAAAAATATTCCTTTTATGCGGAGACCCATGGTATTCAAAATATCAGTGATACCATACAAACACCTGCTATTGATGCAGAAAACCTGATTCGGACAAAAACATATTATATACAGGGTCCACATAAAATGTTTGAGCCACTAATGACTAATTTACATGTGCTATAGATGATTACGAATGGTTATGCAAGAATATAACAAATGACTGACCTCTAAATACAATTTGAGCTCCATCCATAAGCTTCTTTTTTCCTCTCTCATACAGAAAAAGCAATTGTCGGTTCTCACTTCCCACCTGTACATGCAGAAATATATCATAAAAGACTCAAACTTCACATGAGGATCGCAAACATGCAAACAACTCAGCAAGCCAGAAAACATGTCTTACAAAAGATACAAGAACTAAAGCAAATAATGAATACCTCAAAAAGGAAATCAACTGAGTTCATTTGAGGATATTTCCATTTCAGAAGCCCTTCATGGGTACGGGGTACATATGGATCATCCCAGCCCTGGACAAAAGAACCATGATAATAATTGCTACATCAGTGCATTTTACAATAATTTCAAGAAGAAAAAAGAGGAAATGATCACATTAAATCTTATATACCCTGCAACCATACTGATGATGGTAAAATTCCATTACTATTAAAGAAGCATTCACATTTTACTGCCCTACATAAAACAATAACGTGAAAAGGCCACAATCATGGTTTAAAGACGTGCTGCGTCAGCATTTGTGAGAAGCCCTACCACAAAGATACCTAACGAGAGGCGCCACAACATGCCCTCTACTGAGTCATTCCCTATCCCTGATCTTCCTTCTATTCTTTTCTCTTTCCTTCTCTTCCTCTAATCTTTTCTATTCTCTCTCTCTCCCATCTCTTGCAGCCAGCAAGGCAGCAACAACAATTAGTTGCCTGCTGCTGTGTCATTATATGAAGCAGCGGCATGATGGCAGTGCATCAGGGAGAAACAGCAGCTGCTTCTACTTGCGCGTTGCTGCCAAAGATGTGAAACAGGGAAAATTTGAAATAGAGGGAAAACGAAAGAATATAGAGAAAAGGAGATGAGGGATCCTGTCCTCAGAAAGCACTTGAACCCCATGATGAAAAGCCCAACCACCATAATGCATACTGAGTTGGGTTACATTGTCATGCATTTTTTTTAAGAAACAGAAATCCTGAGGACTTCCTTTTTCTAATAAGAAACTCTGAAGGCTGAATGTTGGAAAATTAACAAACTGCAGCAAGCTCTTGAACCCCATGATGAAAAGCCCAACCACCATAATGCATACTGAGTTGGGTTACATTGTCATGCATCTTTTTACGAAACAGAAATCCTGAGGACTTCCTTTTTCTAATAAGAAACTCTGAAGGCTGAATGTTGGAAAATTAACGAACTGCACGGTTAATAAAGAAAAGCACTTGCTATGAGAGTAAGTGCTGAGGTTAGACACATAATTCATACACCAATGCAGAAAAGCAAAAATGAAATGATAGCACAATCAGGTACCTGAAAAATAAGGCCATCAGCTTCGTGACAAAGATTTGGTATAAAGTCTTTTAGCAGCTTATTAACTGTAGATAGTAACCAAAATCCCTTCTGCCTAACCTGTCAACTCCTAATAATTAGTTAGTTGAAGAGGAAAAATAATGAAAAAGCACGACTACTAAATGAATCAATGGCTAATCTCCTTACTGCAAATGGCTCCATGTCGTATCTATATATTGGGTTGCATTTACCCTCGCTTTCAAACTGTTTCCTTTCATGATTTCTAGGTCGAATTACTTCTTCCTCAAGTAGTTTCCACCTTTCAGAAAAGGGCAGCTGCAATAGTAAAACAGGATAGGATGACAATTATTTGATGTCATATAGAGTAAACAATAAAGAAATAATGATAGGTCAATCTCATGCTAATCAAAACCAAGAGAAACAGATAGACTAAATTGAAAATATATATATTTACAAAAAAACAGGCTGGTACGATGTCCATGTAGAGAATTGTTCAGATTATTTGGGGGAAAAAATACATATCAAGAGTAGCATTTGTCTTATGCAAATGTAACTAGAAGACTGAAAATCCTTATTGGCTGCACACAATAAGAATCTTTGATGTTGCAACTGTCAGACAAAAAATAAAATAAACTAAAAAAAAAATTTAAATCAACAATCATGTTAGCCTTTTATTTTGCTTTCATTTTTTTGCATGTGTGAAAGTTTGTTAGTGAGACTCTCTTTTGAATCCTTTTGATGAGGTGTGGTACAGGGCCCTGCCAGAACTAGGAGAAGTTAAACAAACACAGATCGAGGTACTAAAAATTATACAATGTTATTGATAGCGGATAGCGTCACATAGCGGTGAGGCATCACTAAGGCTATTTGGGACTATTGGGGCAAAATAGCGGTAAAAAGCACAAAATCAAATAGCGATCTAATTTAGATATGTGTAAATACTAAAAAAATATTAAAGAAAAATCTAGAAAATCTAAAAATGCATATTTGATGATTTAAAGAGATCCTAAACATGAAATAGACATGTAATCATCACATAATACAAAAGACGATTGGAGGAGAAGTCAAATAGTTGTCGTCTTCGAGAAGATGAGCTAAGCAGTGAGAGAACTGCCCTAGGAGAAGCTCACGGTGAAGGAGGTGAGAGAAAGTGCTGAGTTATGTGCCAGAGGCTATGAGAGGCGGCGGGAGCACCCTAAAAATCGCGGGAGGCGGTGAAATGCAATGGTTAAAGGTCGGGTTTAATTTTAAAAAAATAAACCCCACACCGCTTTTAAATAGCAGTCAAAAAGCCAATTTTGCATGCAATCGCCCGCTATTTACCGTTAGGGCACGCTATTGGTAGCTTTTGCGAACGATAAACGCATATTCCGCAATATGTCACCGGTATTGGGTGATAGCGTAGAGGGAAGGAACCGCTAACACTATTAGCACCGCTATTGCGGGGCTATTTACCGCTATTTATAACAGTGAAATTATATGATACTTATCAACTTCAAAAGAGATGGCCCTTTGAAAAATGATTCTTTTAACAGACTACAAACATGTTTCGCCATTAACCTTAATACGGTTTCAATTAGCTAGTTTAGTTGCAAGGAAGGACTTGTGAAGTAATTGGAATCAGAAGCAATTTTTGCAGTGACATGACCTGTGGATATGATAACAGTAACTGTCAGCTTACACTTACTAATGGAACTAAAAAAAAGATACTCACGTGCTTGTACACACATTAAGGGCATAGACCTGGATAACAAGGATGTCAATAAAGTCCAAAGGTAAAACCAAGAAATTAGTAGGATGCCTAATTCACACAACTGGCAACTAACTTAAGAAAAGTCTTTCATCGCCAGACCCAAAGCCTAGTATTTTTCCAGGTGTTTAGGGAATATAAAGAAACTCCAAGTACCCACCTATCTAGAATCCTAAAATTAGTTCAACTCAAAGTTGTCTTCTGATATATTCAATGGATGGAAACCGAGATACGTATTAGAATAAAGAACTAAATAAAATCCAGAAGCAACTAAAATATAGAAGTCATAAGTTCACCTTGATGATCTGGTCAGTTACACATAAGAGCACTCATGTCTGTCGTTCATTTCCCCTTGTAGTTTTCATTTGGGTATTTAACTGCTAACTGCTAACAGACTTTCCCAGAGAAATTATTTGTCAGTTTAAGGTTTACCTTGATCTCAATTATATAATCATTTTTTCCCTCTTTATTTAAGAGATATTCCATAAAATCTAGTTGTCTTTTCATGTATTTTCCCCTGAACTTGTTTTTTACTATTATAAAAAGCTGAGACATTTTTTTGCTGAAGTTGGATATAGAAACTATGATGCAATGAGGCGCACTATGATTAATCAAGGTAAAGCCCTTGCTACAAAAGCCACCCAGCAGTTGAAGTTGTGAAGATGCACCTCACCCACACACCCACACAGCACACGCACACACACACATGAGCACCTTTAAGTGCTTGAGTCAGATGCTTGCAGGAATAATTTTCCAAAAATATTATTTTAACTCATACATGAGCTCATACACGCACATGCGCACACACGAGCAGACATATAGTGTCCACACATGTTCACAGAAATCTTTCATTCTTCTAGTAGTGGTAATACCGCTTTTAAAATACCAATTTAACCATAATATACCCTACAAAGTACAAACATTAAAATATCCACATGGGATTAGTTTCATGGATCAACACATAATCCATCAGCTTTTTCGGAATTTTCTTGGATCAGTTCTCAACTTTGATTCCCGCAGACTCCTAACAGATTTTGTCAACAAAACATGACAAGAAAAAGGTGCTGCATGAAATGAACCAGATTAGTTGACACGATGAGATTTTATTAGAACTATAATTTTTTCTCCAAATCCCGATGTAGAATGCTCACTGAAAAACCTTAAAAATTTTGTCTTTTAGATACCTAATGAGCAATGAGTCATAGGATACTATTAGTACAACTCATTTAATGTACAATTGTTATTTTCAATAATAATTTAATATTCCTTTAATATTCCTCAACCAACATATTGAGGCATTTATGCAAGAAATAGCTAATTAGAGGAAGTACAGAAACTGGTGGCACATAATCTTAACTTGATGGCGGATAAATGTAATCAAATTAACCATTTCCATGAGAAGATCTCTGACCTTTACTACAGAACGAGAACTAAGTGCCACCAAATCATATATCAGATATCTTCTCTTAAGTCCAGAAGGTATTTTGTCGATAACCATTTCTCCGTCAAGCAATGTCAAGTTATGGAAGCCCTTGCAAAAATGAAATTTTGAGACATTCAGATCAAGAGTTGACTTTTAATATAAACTAAAATTGACATTTTGACAAGCTAAACCAGGATCAGTACGTACCAACCTCATTAATATTCTTCATAGGAAATCGCATCTGGATTCTACGGAAAGTAAAATTTCGATCAATTAGGTAGCAGCCATGGGTGGTAATAAGCATCATATACCGGGTCCCGTCAGCTTTCCATGTAGCATAATAATAGCGTTGCCTAAGTAATTGCAGATTCTCCCTGCATATGAATCACAATGTTAAGAAATGAAGTCCAGTTAATATAAAATGTTGTAAATAACACAACAATAATTTATTTCAAGCAGATAATTTACACAAATTGCAATTATTTGTTTAGTAGAGCATTAATATAAGAAGTCAGACGATATACGTGACCATAGCTTGATTTTATCCCAGATTCAGCACAAACATTCATTGTCTTACTTGGTTTTGCTTGCTAGGGATAAATACTTCTTCAGGCATTTAAGGTGTAAGACCAACTTTCGACTTGAACAGGCCTGGGCACTAGATATTAATGTACTGCAGTACATAAGATGGATGCAGGTTTTGTGAGTGGAGGTGGCATAACCAGGAATCCTTGAAAATAATAAAGGAGAAAAAAGGGTTAGCTATGAATAAGGGTCAGACACACTAAGAACCCTCTGAAGACAGAAGGATATTGTAAGAGGTTAAACTATCAATGGACCCATAAGCTTCTTCTATCTTGTGCCGGAAGTGGATTAGGAATAGGTAAAAAGAACATTTGCGTACAACACCAAGTCACTAACAAATATGGAAACCTTTGTTCACCTAAAAAATACTGCAAAACGAAGTGTAATTTATACTTTTGACACAATATAAATGTTGTATACAATGTACAGATCACTATTTATCTTTTTTCATATTGGAATTGGAATAACAAATCAACACATTTATTTCAGTCACACATACATATATTTAAAAAAATGTGCATAGTAGTCCTCTTCGTAGATATCATTTGAGTCACATACACCTGTGTCGGACTATGACAGTCATGTCCGTGCGCTAAAAGCATGTTGAACAACCTGCTTAACACTAAAAAATGCTCCATTTGACCAAAGAGCAAAAAGCTGTGTGCCAATCAAACCAACTGCAGTTTAAAGGAAAATTGGTTGCTCATTACAATACAAGTACGACTGAGTATCAATTTGAGATCAACTCTATTAGCTGGTAGTCAGCATCAGCTAGAGGTTTGGGTCAAGGTCTAGGAAAAATCACTTGAAGAGAAAAGTAAATCAATGAATAAATTCAGAAAATTAATTTTATAGGAGGGAATAGGAGATGCAGAAGAGCCAAAAGGACATTGGATAACAACATATGAAAGAATGGACAACATAAATTGAAGCATCCCGGCCCATGCAGCATGGATTCAGAACAAAAATAGTAACAAAAAGTGTGCACTAGAGAACACATGCACCCAAGAACTTATCCAGTGATGCAGAACAACATCAATTTGATCTTGAAGCAAGCGAGCTTGGACTGAAATCTTAACCTTTAGCCGTTGAATTTCATGGTTATTAGGCCTTGATGTGGTTAATTTTTGAAAATTATTTGGTACCATTACATACCAAAGAAATTCCTCCAATACTTCAATATAGAATGAATGGTATAGGAAAACTAAACCTGTTGAGAGAAACAGGATGTGATCCCGGAAATTGTGCATTTCCTCTCCCCTGTAATCATGAAAAACAGAATAGCATAAGTGAAACAGCTTCATGAATGGTCACAAGATATAAACTATTTCAACTTTCAACACATCTAAACTCTCGATAGTTCCGTAACAAGAAATCAAAGATGAATCAGATATATTATAGATCACAACATAATAATCGACACTGCTGCTAACTGTTTCACAAACAGGAATGACACTTTCACACGAGCAAACACAAATTATATTCAGCAAAATCTAAAGTTTATGCCATAAAGCAGAGAGGGTGAAGCAAGACTAAAACAAAAGAAAGGACAAAAGGAAAAAAAAACCAAGTTTTAATTGACAATCAAAGATCACCACTTAACGGACAATGAAAATGTGATCATTCAGTTTAAATGTACATGAATATCCTCTTTTTTTTAATTTAAATGCTGAATTGAACCCTATCTTTCTATATGTAGGATTTTCTTTTTCCTTTTTTATGGGGTTTTTTGTTTTTGGCACAAGTTGATTGCTACGTTCAAAAATGACTTCTAAGTGGCTATAATCTACCAACTTACATTTAAAAATCAGAAGACCATGGTTCTCCAAATTTATCAGAAAGAAAATTCTGCAGCCTTGTGAACTTCTATCCTAACTTAGGTAGGTCAATACTATATGATAATGTTAATCTCACGCTTTGGAGGACTATATGAGATACTACTTTAATTCTGTGGTAAGATCTGAACTTAAGGTTTTGTATTAGCATACATTTTTTGCTCCATATAATAAAAAACACTTAGCATAATGGTCATACTATTCCTTTTTTAACGACATATTGGCCACATTGCCATTCTCCTCCCATACTGTAATTATGCTAAGTCAGAAAAATAACACATCTGGCTAAAAGAGACTCCGTAGGCATTTAGATGAAACTCAATGCTGTATCGTTTTTAGTCCATTGGGCAGGAAAGGGTTTTTTCATGTGAAAGATGTTCCAATAAAATTGGGTACCATGGTTCTTTCTCCAAAATTATCAGAGAGAAAAGTCTATACCATTCTGAACTTCTCTCCATACCAAATTTTCTCAATTTTTTTCCAACGAATTGACATGTTTTCTCCATATATTTCATTCGCATTCTACACCTCCTAGGTACAATAATATTATATGCTAATATTGATACCATGCTTTGGAGCAATATATAAGATGCAATTTATTTTGGGGTAAGATCTGATGCATAGAAATTATGGCTTGTATTAGCATACAACTTTTTGCACCCTATAGTAACCAACATTTAGCATAATGGCCATACTAGTTCTCTTATAAGTGGAAATAAACCAAATAATTAACGAAGTATGAGAAACTATTAGGTTATATTTGATTCAGTAGTTCATTTAACACTAATAAAATAGTTTTAGTATTTGAATTCTTAAAACAAATAGAATTTAACAGATGCATATTCAATTCGTTTGTTTACCAAATATTCATTTAAAACTTCATCGCCTATAATTTGTATTATCACACACATGATGTTAATATTTTCAACCCACTTACATTTTCTACTTAATATCTATATACTAATTCTGAGATATACTTAAAGCGTACTAAATCACTTTTCTAACAAAATATTCAAATTAAATATATATACATCACAATTATAAAGGAACAATTTTCAATTATAAATTTAAATACTACATGAAAATCAAATTCTTCAGCAAAATAAATATACTTAATATTCGATAATTATTCGTGAGTGTTCATGAATATTTTATCAAATAAGAGTATTCAAGTTCAAAATTGAAACTCCAGAACTGGGTATCTGAATTCAGATTCGAATTGGAGAATATTAAACAAATACAAATACAAACAACTTAGTACTCTAATTAATTCCTTTCCACCCCTACTTATAATGACATAATGCACATATTGCCATTTTCCTTCCTTAAATTAGGTCAGAAAATACCATTTTTAGCTAAATAAGGGACTCCTTAGGCATTTAGATGAAACTGCATGTAATGGGTAGATGAAACTGCATGTTATGGTTTTTTTAATCCACTGGGCCGGGAAAAAAAATTCAGGTGAAAATTCAAGTCTTTAGACACTTCAATAAAAATGGGGGACCATTTCCTATATTGACTGAAACCTAGGGAGTGTTCTGTCATTATTCCATGGTGCAAACTAGGACAAGACAATTATCAGCAAGAAGAATCTGCTATGTACTCTTAATTGGCCTGTTTGAAGCCAAATCAGCAACTCATTTAAGCCTGAACCAAAGCTCATACGACCAACAAGAAACCCACCCAACTCCCCCCAGCCCAGAAACATCTTAGGAGAAAATGAAAAGCTATATTTCTCATATTTGCTACAGGGAAGTGCATCAACCGCTTACGTGCAAAGTACATAAAATATCCCATTTTGATCAATAAACACGCAGAATTAAACTCTCTATGCAATTATAAGTAACATTGAATGGAGTTTGTAACCACTGACTTAATCTGAATTAAACATGTAATGCAAAAATTAAGACTATGACAGCAATCTAATTTGTCTCTGTAAATTGTGCATAAGGAGATATCCATGTGATAGATAAAAAAGACAGTTGCAGATTACATACACTAGGAGTCAAATCAAATAACTGGTAACAAATATGGCGCATAGCATCTTGCTGGTCATAAGGTATTGGATCTCCTAGGACATCATCATTTGTTATCAGTGTGTTCTCCACATGTTCCTGCAACATAAAAGCAGTACAAAAAGTTAAGGAAAGGAGTTCATGGATGAACTAGACACATATGAGAACAAAGCAAGTTTCCAGTCTAGAAAAAGCCTGCCACATTAAGTAGATTTGTGGCCCAAACAAAGTAGCACTTACATAACAGAGCAACACTGTTTACAACTGAGTACGTCTGCTCATACATAGTGTGAACTATGAAGTGAATAATATAGTATACAATTGAATATGCTGGTTCATATGAAAGCAAGACAGGAGTGTTTGGGATCACACACCTGCATGCATGTTGAAAGGTTTATTAAAGATATGTACGTCCTTGCATGTGGTAGAAGGTGGAAAAGCAATGCCCTTTACAATTTTTTAGTAGGAAAATTCTTATGTAGGCTTAGCCAGCACAAGGACAATATTTCTTTAAAACTACAATCACTGTGGATTCTAACCTCAATGGTTTATAAATTATAAGAACACACTTAGATTTTTTGGAACATGAAATATTTCAACTGGTACATATTAAAAAATTATATTTAAACATACACGCATAAAATCTTCAGTAAGCCCAAAGAAAAACTAATAGATCTTTCTCGAAGTGAAAAAAAAGAAGGTAATTTACATACCCTTACCTGATTCAATATGTTCAAAACTTTCTCAACCACATATGATCTTAGAAAATTTACATGACATTCTGTGGAACAATTATAAGACCCGCAACATTTTATGGATCAGAAAGTTGGGCCATTAAAAAAATATGTGCAGAAAATGAGTGTAGTTGAACTAAAAATGTTACAAGGACGAGTGGATATACATGCTAAGAGGATTAGAAATGAGTATAATCACAAGAAGCTGAAGACTGCTCCTATCGAGGATAAAATAAGAGAATCATTTGACAAGGTTTGGTTATGTGTAATGGAAGCCATAAATGCACCAATTAGGAGAAGTGAATAAATTATCATTCAGAGTGAAAGGACTAGAGTCAGGCCTAAGGAAAATTGGTTAGAAAACAGTTAAGAATGATATGATAATGGTTAACTTAGTGGAGGAGATGACCCTCAATAGAACTAATTTGAATAGTAGTATTCATGCAGCCAACCCCCAAAAAATTGAGATAAACGATTTGTTGTTATTGTTGTATAAATTTACATGATAGTAGAGCATGTAAAGCATGCTATTCATTAGTGAATGGTGTGATGAGTTTAGAAGTTGCAACTCTGGTTCATCTTATCACGACCTGATGGATTTTATTAAACTAGGGCAAGAAATTGTTAATAAACCTTTTCCAAAGTGTAATGAACTGGAATAATGCAGTTTCAACATTATAATATTAGGTAATCTACATGAGAGAAATGTATAATGAATGCTACACATAAGATGAATATGATTATAAACATTTTGCCAGAAAATTATGGCGAATTAAACATTTTTCAGCTGTTGTGGACCATTAATAACTAGGACAACAGATAATCCTTCATTATATATGTAAGGCTGAAGAAAAGATTAAATGTGGACCATTAATAACTAGGACAACAGATAATCCTTCATTATATATGTAAGGCTGAAGAAAAGATTAAAAGAAAAGAGAAATGCAGTTTATCAACAGATAATCCTTCATTATATATGTAAGGCTGAAGAAAAGATTAAAAGAAAAGAGAAATGCAGTTTATCATTCCATCACTAGCAATGTGAAGACTGACAACATATAAAGTAGGAAAGCCAGCATAATTAGAGTAGTCCATCAAGCATCAAAGTTATGATGTTGCTTACATGAACTATTTCAACAAAACTAGCATAGTCCAGTCTAACACGAGCATGAAAATACATAAAAGCTAAAGCCAATGCAGAATAGTAAAAACAAATTGTGAACAACAAAGCTAAAACTCTCTTTGCTATACATACATGCAAAGGAGCGTGAGCGTCAGTATTTCCATCATCATCCTCATCTGGCATAGCTTCACCATTCAAATCAAGATCTGAAGGTCTCTTCCATTCTGGAGTGGGAGGACAAATCAAATTTTCAGGACTTTCATGGTAAAATGTGTACAGTGCTTCAATGTAATCTTGTTTGTAGATTCCTGGAGGCCGCTTCTGAGCAAATACGTTTACCGCCTGGCAAGCAAAAGATTATAAGCAATGGTAAGAACAAAACAAAAAAGGCTCCTAATAAATACTCACGTAACACACAAGTACCTCTGCTACATGCATAGGCTGTGAACGCATGAGGAAGTTGATAATCATGAAACCCGTACGATTATGCCCGTGTGTACAGTGGACAAGAATATACTTCTTTGAGTGCTTATGACGGGAGAGGAACTGCATAACCTGACATGTGGAAAACAGAGACAAAATTATGAAGAAAGCATTTAAAGCTTTAGTTTCTGCAACTCTAAAAGCACATACATGAACATGATCGAATAATTATAAGATAGAAGTACTGTGCATTTGAAAGTATGCCCACGACACATGATGTTTTCAGGCTGCATGTTCCTGAAATCTGCTTTTGCATGTACTGGCTTGAGATGAAGTAAATTTGTGTCTTTCTTTTGAGTGTGGGGATGGGTGGTGGGTGGGTGTACGTGCGCTTGTGTGCATTTTTTTCCTTTTCTTGTTCCTTGCAAATGCATGTGTACATGTAAGTATGCATCAATAGTTGTTGGTATTGCACAATACATAAGATTTGAGCATTAAAAGATATCTGATATGGTCTTACCAGTCAGTTCTACTTAACATTTATATCAAGAACAATATGATATGTTTCACGTTCATTTCATACATCTAGAACAGTTTTGAGTTATTGAGTCTTTTTTCCAAGTTTTGAGTCCATTAATTACTTTCATTATGCCAAAGTCAAAATTAGGGGTTTTCCCACATCAGAGCCACAAAACTGGTTCCTCCAAATTACCTTTGACTCTCATGATAATGAATTTATCTGACATCATAGAAGACCTTCCCAATCCCCTTTGAGTGATCCCTTTGAGTGATTCAAATGTTTACAGATCCTCATCAAAGGCATTTGAAGATCCACAAAAGAACACCCACTCTC